TATGTCAGCACAAGATCTGAAGTATGAAGATGAGAATGTGTGGGACTATTCACATTTTGGACAAAGCCAATAGTGTCTAAGATAGCATTAAAGGCTGCTCTTAAGCTATCGCCTTCAATGTCAGCATGTTTGTTTAAATATCCCACTATGATGACCCTGTCAGTATTTAATACCAAATCAGAAAGGAACTTTGAAAACTCATCTAAAGATTCAGAGTAAGGACCTGGTGGATTTACAAAGTTACAAGAAGAAGAGGTTTTTCTTTGAAATTTGGATGAGGGAAACTAAGGGTTAAATGTTCAAAAGAGTTGGAAGTATTAACTGTCTTGGGGGTAATCAGTAAGTCAGACTGAAAGATTGTTGCTACACCTCCTCCTCGCCCAGAACTTTTGGGCATGTGAAAATTTAAATAGCTTGAAGGAGTTGCCTAATTTATGCTCACATAATCCTCTTGCTGCAGCCAGGTTTCTGTAAGGCAACATGAGTAAATGTGATTATCACAAATCACGTTATTAACTTGCAGACTTTTAGAGGAAAGAGATCTAATATTAAACAGACCACATTTAATCGTTTTAACTTTTTCTCCAATTGGAGTTATTTTAATTTTAATTAGATGATCATGATTTACTCCTTTGGGAATATTTGCTAATTTATAAGATTTTGGTCATGGGGAAGACACTGTCTGGATGGAGCTTCTGAATGGAGTTCTCCTCCTTTTGAACCATTTGCAGAGGCAAGCCTTGAGTGTGTGTCAAAGAAGACAGCTTTTCTCCTCGCCATGGACTCAGCAAAGCAGGTGGGTGAGCTACATGCTTTGTCTGTTCACGAGTCCAGCTGCCGTTGGAACCGGGCTGGTACTGGTGTTACTCTCTGGCCTGATTTGCCATTTCTTCATAAGGTGGCTTCATCCGCGAGCCACACTGTGCCCCTCCAGCTTGCTCGCCTCAATGCGGATGGGCCTGATGAGACTCTCTTCCCTGTACGGGCACTGAAGGCATATGTCAGACTCACACCTTCTCTCCGGCAGTCAGATAGTCTGCTTGTTTGCAAAGCTAGGCCCTTTTTAAACAGCGCCTTGCATGTTGGATTATGGATGTGGTGAAACAAGCGTACATGCAGGGCCGCCAACCCCCAACTGGTGTACAGTGCCATTCCACCAGGGGAGTTAGTGTGTCGTGGGGCGACTAGTATCACTCTGGAGGCTATTTGTTCAGCAGCCTCTTGGTCATCCCCGAATACCTTTGCTAGGTTTTACAGGGTTAACTTGGCCGCCTTTCACCCAATGGAGGGGATCCTATCCCGGCGCACACCATCTTCCCTGAAAGGTGGGCATGTTTTCGGGTTGTTTATTTTCTGTATTCGATTCCTCAGGACTCTGTTGGTAATCGTCATCCGTGCTTTAAGCACTGCCTCTGGCAGTCAGTAGGGATGAAATAGGACAAAAGATCCGACTTTGACTACAGTTCTATGATTCCCGGATGACCCCAGAGCACTCGGTCCCTCGAAATTACTGTGTTTTCGTGAGAAGATTAAGGGACTGGGCTGTCATTTTCACGTGATTTTTATAGGCTCACCAGTGTCACAGGGGGTCACACGTGACTATGTTGGTATAAGATTCTCGACCTGTGCATGCACAAGGGTGATCATTCATAGTTTAAGCACCGGCTCTGTCGGTCATCCGGGATTCATTGAACCGTATTTACAGTCATAACTTTTGGTTTTCATGCTTTGAACTCTGGCACTTGGTGCTGATTCAAACTGGTGTGAGCCACTTGAGTGACTCTTCTCAATTCTAAGGTGTGACAGAGAGATAAAGAAGGATCTGAACAATTGTACATTAGAATAATTTGAACCACCTGACTCTACCAAATTATCTCTTTGGTTTTCTCTGTTTCGGTCTGTGGCACTAGTTTGACTTTAAACACCTTTGTTTTCAGAGGTATTTTGTGTTAACTCAAAATTTGAAGGCTTTGGGTATGTTTCGGGAACTTTATTACTTTCAACTGGTGTGACTTCCTGTTGATTCAGAGTCTGTTGGCTTTGTTTATGGCATAGCTCCTCAGAGGGGGAGGTCAAACGTTTTCTCTAATGACCATGTCTCTCTGGCCTTGTCGGGCTTTGAACTTTCTAGCTTTGCTAATCTTATCTCAGGTTCTGACAATAAAAGTTTTGCAGCACTAACTTTTTCCAAAGTCTTTTGATAATTGGCTGTCAACTTAGAGTATTATTTAGCTTTTAAATAGGATTTAAGTTGATACAACAGTGTAAGCTGACAGAGAACATCTGGAATCAGAATGTTTTCAGTTAGATTTTGAATTAAATTGATTAATTCTTGAATATTTTCTTCACATAGAGTGAGGTTAAAGCTGTTTAGGTTATCCATCTCAAGATAAGTGGATAAGGTTTGCAGCTATGACGTTTTGCTTCTCTATGCCTGTGGAGTCAACGATGCTTGCAGCATCTAAGACGCTTAAATCCAGTTTCAGCTTATGACACAAAACAGAAATTGGGAAAAAGTAAAAAAAAAAACACAATCCAGACAGTATCCACTATATTGGTATATTTCAACGTACATGTTGTAGAGGCTTATTTTTAATGAGTTTAGAAGTGGGTCACGGGTTATCTTTGAATCTGTGACATCCAGAATCAAAGCAGATAGATCTGGGTCAGCGAGTAGCAGATCTATTTGTGATCACTATGTCTCATAATCAGCCTCGTTACTGGGCGTGGGCACATGACCAGAATAAACATGGAACCACAGTGACACAGGTCCACTTAGATCAGTGGTTCTGACCATGTGTTCAACAACAACCCTTTCTACTTCTGAAGGGTTTAGGTCATTTTGTGATAGAGAAACTCTCTGTGTAGGACCAGTTCTCATGGCTGTAGCAGATGTGTGGATTTGCTGAGGTTTTCATCTTTCATTGTCAATGCAAAGGGTTTTTGCCTGTATTTTTGCTTTGCAATGAGAGGTTGTCAAAAAATGAAAATTAATTATAAAATTTGAAAATTTTCCATCTCTAAGTTAGGAAGGAGAGAAAAAGTGTGATTGCAGAACTTCTGGATAAATTAGAGGAGAGCGTAGATAGATTTAAGAAGTGGATTGCATCTCCAAACTCCACTACTGCTGCTAGTTTTGTTGCAAGGATGGAAAACCGTCCACAGATCAAACATGTAGAGCTCGATGTAGGGATGGGAACCTTCTTCCATTTTTTCCCCGAATCCCCAAGATAAAAATATCACCAAGGTGCGCTGGTGACGGAAGATGTGGGATTTCAGGGTTAGAGAGCTCTGCTCTGATGGATCTCAGTTCCTGCTTGGTTTCTCGTGACTCAATCAGCTCCTCCCAACAGAAACACGTCCACCATAGAAAGATTCTTTTATCCTGTTTCTATCATTTTATCAATGCAACAAAACTTAAACCAAGCAGTGAAGCAGCGTGATGGGAGCGTTCACTGCTCCTCCCTCACCTCATGCTGCTATCTGACTTTTGCTCCAGGATAAACATTTAATCGTTAATGATTTTTATATATCTAAGCCCACATAGTCCTTTTCTATAGTGGGATAATACACTTAGAGCCTGTGTTGCCATATGAGGCTTATATGAGACTCCTACATTTTTGCGGCTCCAGACAGATTTGTTTTTTTCGGTCCAATGTGGCTCTTTGAGCAGTTTGGGTTGCTGAGCCCTGTCCTAAATCCTCTGTAAAGTAAAGCCTTCAGCTACACTGTTCCTCCCGTCCCTCTCCGCTCCAGCTTCCTCGTAGCACGTCTGAGCAGCTGAAGCAGCGCATCGGGCGCGTTTAATCATCTGACGCAGGGAGAGAGACACAGCGCTGATGATCAGAGGCTATGATCACTCCTCTTAAACAGTTTATTGACGCCTAAATTAACTTAAAATGCAGAAATCTGCCGGCAGAATATGCAGTTTGGATTATTTAGATGAAAAACACCTACCAGCTGCTACCGCGAGGAGGCGACCCAGCCAGAGGCTGCTGATGAAGGGATTCCTACGGTCTATGTGGGGGGTCTAAGCGGCTCCGACAGAAAAAATATT